CCGAGAGCCGGTCTGGCGCCAGACTCGAGCTCGAGGCCCCACCGGCTGGCCCCTCCAACGGCCGCGTCTGCAGGCCTCCAACAGCCTCCACTGCCTCGGCCTCTCCACTCCCGACGCCGCGTCGCATCGTCTGCCCCAGCCCGGCGCCGCTTCCGTCGGCCACACGAGTCCCGGCCTCTGCTGGCCACACCACCGGCTCCAGCTGCAGCACCAACACGACCAACTGCACCTCCAGCTAAGGCTACAGCTACAGCTACAACTACAACTGCAATTACAACTACAACTACAGCGTCAACAACAACAACAACAACAACAACAACAACAACAACACCAACAACAGCTACAACACCAACCTCAACATCATCACCACCAACAACAACAGCAACAGTCAGCATGGTTGCCGAACTGGTCGGAGCATCAAGTGGCGCCGTCCAGCCCCTGCACTCCGACGCTGTGCAGGTCCAAGTTGGTGATGGGGCGACACGATCTGAACGCCCGCTCCACGCGTCTCCCGTCCGGCCCGTCCGGTTCGTCGGCCGCGGTTCAACCGCGTCCCGACGGCTGCCTCCGCGGCCGGCGACTGCGCGAGGCCGGTCGCTGTCACACGCAGTACGCCCGTCCGGTCGGGATGCCCGTTTGGCCGGGACTGGCGGCCACGGCGACGGCGATGGCGACGGCGACGGCGAGGGCGGCAGATGAGCCGAGCTTGCGCGGACAGTTGACCGGATCTACGGATCGGTTGGTGCCAGTGGAGCTCGAGATGTCGGCCAATCGTGGCCGGCCGGTCGCCTACGCCGAGCTCCGGCCTTGCAGTCCGGCCGGATTAGAGCCGAGCCGACGGCGACGAGGAGTAGACGTCGTCGAGACGACGAAAGGCGACGCCAACCGAATCGCAGCGACCGAGAGGCGGCGCCAACCGGCCGACGGAGACACCCTCGACAGGCCAATTTGGCTCGCGACTGCGCTCAAAGACGACGGCGCCGGACTGGCGCCGACCGGAGACGCGATCAGACCATCGGGCCGCCTAGCAACCGGGCCAGTGATGCGCTCCGGATGCACCAGAGAGTGGCGACAGAGACGAGTATGTCAGCTGGAGCCTGTCACGAGGCTGCATTACAAAACTGGGACTAAATGGTCCTTCTGCGAGGCCGTTACCACCGCATCGGCGGCGGTTGCCACGATGGCCAGTCGTTCACGCCGTCAAGCCTCTGGTCATTGTGCACTAGTCACTGAACATGCCAACAAGGCTTTGGTTACCTCACCTCACCTACTCGAGTCGTGCTTTCCTCGCGATTCTCATTAGCCAAGTGGACCTCATTTTGGACAGATCAGGGGCACAAAACACTCTGTCTGCTCATCCCTAAGTCATGCACACACGGTTTTCATTGCATAAAAGGTGTCTCAACACTTCCGCTAGATCTGGTATGAAAAGTGAATTCAACCCCTTTCCTTGAGGGTGAGAAGGAGACTGGTAGCTGCATTTTTCCACAATCTGACCAATAAGCATCAGAGATGAAGAAAAAGTGGTGTTCGAAGAATTCATTGATGAAATATTGTAGCATGACTGTCCATTTCGAAGGGAAAGTTGGTTTGAAGGAATTTGTGATGTGATCTTACCCGAAAACCGAAGGAGGATTGCTCCGTTGGGAAGACTGTTGAGCTGTGCCAAGGAGTCCTCACCTCCCCGTCCTCCGACCCCGATGAAACTGTCCTAAGCTTTCGTCTGTACCATCGCGACAGACAGCATCAGAGCAGGTATCCACACTTCACGAAATAGAGCAAAAATATACTAAACTAAGAAAAAATGTGACTAGGATTGCAGCAGGCCACATATTTTGGCTTTATTTCGTGAATTGTGGATACCTGATCTGATGATGTCTGTCGCGATGGTACAGACGAAAGCTTAGCACAGTTTCATCGGAGTTGGAGAACAGTGAGCCGAGGACTCCTTGGCACAGCTCAACAGTCTTTCCAAAGCGTCAATCCTCCTTCGGTTTGTGGTGAGACCACATCACGAATTGCTTACAACCAACTATTTCTTCGAAATGGCGACTCGTGCCAAAATAAACCTCACGTTTCCACTCGATTTCATGCAACCTTCCCTCCAAAAAGGTGTACAGAGAAAAGGCATATTTTTCTGAGATCATATTCTTGTGAAGTCTTTCACTTTCTTTACGTATGTAAGTGCATGATGAAGAGATTCGTGTATCAAGCTCACCAGAAGACGTCGGCTGCTTTGAGACATTTCGGCCGAAGACTAGCTCAGCTTCCCTCGTTCGTATGACGGACATCGTTAAGCCTTGGACTCAAGTGTTAGTGACTGAGTATTAAGTTGAGGCTTTTGCAAAGATAAATCCCAGTTCTGACGATGTTCGTCGCCCGACGAACGAAAGCTCTGTCCGTCTTCGCCCGAAACGTTGGAGGGTGGCTTGTGGACCGCGTCCACTTGAAGGTCGTAGTAACGCCAAACGGCTGCAGTTCAGTGTGTATCAGCCGACGTCTCCCGGAGAGATTGACCTACGAATCTCTTTATCATACACTTCCATACGAAACTAAAGTCTTCACAACATTCAAAAAAGATATTCTCATCCCAGCTTGAGTAGACTGCAACATTGACCTCGCCTGAATTGGTCTAATCCTCACCCTTAACGGGACTCGAATCCATATCGGCTCCACACATCAACCACTATGCCACATTTCCACAAGTGCACTTGCGTCACAGGGCGATGTGAATTTTTTATTATCACATTCTGTCGTGATGAAATAAAGTTGTAATTGCTATGGCAATTAAGTACATCACTTATTTTACGTTTCGAGTTTATCACTA